TGTAAAAATTAGCTGATGCTAACATCTTGTCGCTAACCACTATGATGACTGTCAGTCTGTGTCACGTCTTTCTCTCCTTCCAGTTGAAGACTGTAAAAATTGACACAAACTTGATGTTAGCTTGTTAGTTAGCTTTTAGCAGGCTTAAAGTTGGCGAAATCTAATTTAGAGGAAGCTAACTGGTCCACTGTGTTTTCAAACTTAGTGAAAACGCTAATCTGCTAAACAAAAAAATTTGTTCCACTTTTATCCTATTAGCAGAGTTACGTCCCCCACCACTGGTTAGCTCTAATTTAAGATAAAACTGTACTTATTGTTCATCTAAAGCGAGAGTTTGGATCTATCTACAACAGGTAAGCTACTGATTGTTCATTTTATCAGAGTGATATTGTTTCTTTGAATGATCTCAGTTTAAAGAAAYGGCGTTTAATTTTGAATGGATCGATGAGCTCCAATCTAGTTTTTATAGTTGAAGTAAATGTTTATTAAATGTCTAATGTTAAAACTAGTTGGGATTCTTTTTAAGGGTCGTCTTTTATAATCTCTTAGCTGAACATCAAAAGGCAACATTATTTTGAGGCCCAGCAGAGCTTCATGTATTATTCAGGATCTGTTTGGATTTCTTCCTAATTAAATATTATAATAAAACTGGACAAAACCTGGTGAAAAATCTCTAACCCTGCTGCATGATAATCCGATTAAAATGGCTGAAACACATCTTAATCACAAGCAAAGAGCTAAAGTTCAGGTTAGTGGAGTTGTAACAAACATGAAGGCTGCACTAAAACAAAGAATCTGAATATTTGACTTTAGTTTTAGTAATGACCGTGCACTTCAAGGCATGTGTAGGTCAGTGTATCTTTTGGTCATCCAGTTTTCATTTTGGAAACGGGTATTAAAAAACAAGAAACGAGCGGTTATTTGATTTTTGTTTTAAAACACTGAAATAAAAATTAAAATACAACACGTTTCTCATGTCAAAAAGGGATAAACAAAATTTTAAAAATGATTTGAATTTCATTTGCTGTTTCAGATAGCAAAAAAGAAAAATACTTTAAGACAAACAGAAAAAGGCTTATTTATTTGTATTATATGACTATCAATTCCCCCACCASAGGGGGCGCTCGCCTGGCAGCTCTGCAAAATGAAACACTGATTTCTGTAAATAAAAGGCTGAAACACAGAGAMAWATGTCCATAAATGAGTTGTATGATGACTGTCGCTCTGTGACTGAAGACTTTGCAGAGGTAATTCATGTGGTTTTTGGACAAATAAGTCTCTTTTACTGAATACATGCCGGCTACTGCCTCCACTTCACCTCCATTTCTCTCAATAAAAAGCAAAATAAGACAAATTACTGTAACTCTAAAATAATCTGTTTCACCACCAGAAGGGGTGTCTGCAATAGCAAAGTTATTCGATAAACATCCTATTACAAATAAAAAGCGTTGATACTGACTTCGGTATCAAATATATTTGCCAAGTATTTATTTGGTATCAGATCGATATCAGAGTGGTAGTACGGCCCACCCCTCACTGAAAGGAACACTCCAAGGAAGTGAACTGACAGAAAAAAGAACAGATTTAGTCAAAACTCAGGAGGGGAAAAATATTTCTGTTCACAGAAATACAGCTGCAACACACTAATAAAATGAAAGTTGTCTTATTTTCCTTTTGAAACTCAAGTCATTCAAAAAAAAATTGTTATCCTTTTTGACACTAAGAAGGAGAAACGCATTGTATTTTAATATTTATTTCAGTGATTTAAAACAAAAATCAAATAACCGCTCGTTTCTTGTTTTTAAATGAAAATCCAAACCAACCAAAAGATYCACTGACCCATGTACAACAGAGAAGGAACATGCCAACATGAGAATATATCATGTAATATACAACATACAGTATGTACATCATTGTTACTGCATCAGCTTCTTGGTTACTTCTTGAAATTCTGTTCATTTGCTTATATTGGACTGAAATGTAAATTTTTTACAACAATCTAATCAGTCCTTCAAAAAAAAAGTTGTGTCTTTCATGTTATGTTTTAACCTGTGGTGCACTGAACCCAACCAGATGGTTCAGAATGTCGGAACAAGTCTATATTTTTATTTAGTTGAAAACGTCTGAAACTGTAAAAGCGACACAAAGCTGTCGACTGTTGTGAGAGTTGTGACCTTTGGCAGCAGGAACACACACAGGTGCAACAGTTCTCCCCTTCATGCTCCTCCTTCCCCATCTTCTCTGCCCCGCCCGTCATCATACCACAGTCTCGGAGCTCGACCCCTTTCCCGTGAAGAAGTCCCAGAAATTGGAGGCCTTGCTCTCCTCCTGCGGCGCCTGCCTCACCCAGATGCTGCTGCTGCTGCTCTCGGTGGAGCCGCTCAGGCTGGAGCAGCTCCCTGCGCCGCCGCCGCCTCCACCTCCACCTCCACCTCCACCCAAACTGAAGCTCAGGGCGGAGCCCAGCGTGACCCGGCGGTCCTGGGAGTGGGCGTCCTGATCGTGGAGTCTGGAGGAGGAAGAGGAGGGCTGGGCCAGGCTGAGCAGGTTGTGGTGGGAGTGGAAGTGACGCAAGTGGTGGATGGATTTCCTCGGATGTGCCTCACCTGGAAGAAGAAGAACCAGAGTAGGGTAAAAATAACAGCACTTTATAAATCAATACCCACTTCTCATCTTTGGTCAAATTATACATTTAATTAGAGAAAAGAAGGAGTTTTAAACTACTGTAATACTGCTGAGATTTTGTTGGTATGGAAGTACATTAGTCTCAAAAATATTCAAGCGCACTCAACACAATTTGCACCAGTTCATGGATCAGCTCACAAGTGAATGTTACTTTTGAGTCTTTTTTAAATTATTTTTACTGCTGCGGAGTCACACCTGTAATGCTGCGTTCAAGGCCAACAAAAAGCTGGGGCATATGTATGGAGCTAAACTGGGGCCATAAAGTTTGTTAAAAATAAAAAAACTAAATTTCTGAAACTAAAAAAAATCTGACAAGAAGTTAAAACCTACTTGTCAGATTCTCAGGCTTTTTTCAGTTTCAGAGTTTTTTCTATTTATTTATTTATTTATTTATTTATTTATTTATTTATTTATTTATTTATTTATTTATTTATTTATTTATTCATTCATTTWYWSATTCMTGGCCCTGTGGGGGTGGGGCATCATGGGGCAGGAGGTATGGAATCATGGCTGACAGTTCAACAATGCAGCTGGATTAAGTAGACAAAGTAATACTTATAATCTGAAATTGAAAAATCCCTAGAATCTGACAAGTAGTTTGACTTTTTTTTGTTTCAAAATATTAAAATTTTAAACAAACTTCATGGCCCCAGTACATCTGAGCCTTACCAAATTTACTGGGTAATTGGGAAGAGACTTAAATTAGCCTTATAATAAAATATACGCTTACATTAACATTACTGGGTTCTAATAATGTTACCTTTTTGTGGAATGTACAGCTGAAAAAAAACAACCTAAAACAAGTAGGTTGAGAATTTATCAGTCCACAAAATTACCATTTTCTTGTGGAAAAACTACCAAAAAGTATAATTTCTTGTACTTTTGGTGTGGACTGTACAACTGAAATAAACCACTCAAAATATTAGTTTGTTCAATTACAAAAACTACTGGAAACATTTACCAGAGTTCCTCTGCTAAAACTACTGATAAATAAATTTTCCAGTAATTTTTTTTTATTATTTACTTCAGCCATACATTCCATAAAACAACAATTTTGGAACCTTGTATCTTCAATATAGTTTTATTACAAGAGTCCTAAGCTAATAAGTCAGAAACAAGTTGTTTCCAATAACCCAGTAAATGTGGTGATGCTCAGATGTCCCAGCTTTTCACCAGCCTTGAATGCAGCATTACATGTAGTAATCTACGGATGTAAGAGCATCTCAGAAGTCACATTCACAGCTGTGCAAATCYTGTTGCTCAGTTGAATCTTTTTGAGATGAATTTATCTCCATACGTCGGTGCCTGAAGTATGAGCTGGGGGTGTCTTTCAGCTACTACCACACTCAAGTTTTAGCTCCATATCGGACTGAGTTRAAGTCATTTTTATGTTTGTCAAAGTTAATTAGCAGGTGTTCTGAGGCTTAGTTTTCAATCTTCATATGAACAGCTTTCGCGAAAACACCTGATTTTATTGTTTCAACCTTGTGTCACTGCAGAAATGTTGTTTTAGTTAGTGTAATTTCTTTGCCTGAGTGGAAAATCTTTAAAATAGTTGTAGTGTTTCTATAATGATGACGATATTCATAGAAATTGTGCAGTTTTAATGGAATATTTTGTGAAAAAAAAAAAGTAAAAACTTGTTTTTGGAAAAGTTTGCTCAAAATTTAGAGGACCGCTGTAGATGTTGGATTTCCAGGCAGTAGATGCACTGAAACCTGTTAAAGCCAGGTGGTGCTGTTGCCTCATTTTTTTATTCCTTCAACCCCAACATGGTCTGTTTAATAATAATAATGGGGGGGTGGGAAAAGACTTGGATTAGCTAGAAAGAATCCACAGTGGCGTTTTATCACTGAAATCTTTGATTTCCGTTTTAAGATTTGCAGTCAAACTGAGCGATTCAGCTGCCCAGTTTGAGTTTTCCAGAACAAAGCAGAGAAGTTTTATGGGGRAAAATTCATGTGAAGGAGAGCAACAACAGTCTGTCAGACACAACTGACAAAGCTTTACATTTCTATCTATTATTTCCCACTACAATTAGTTTTCACCAAAATGTTCTAAAGAATGTCACAATACTAGTTTTAAAACTAATACATGAATAAAGCTTAATTTGGTAGTGGTGTCATGTTATATCGTCCAGTGGAACAGTATCTGTGTATGTTTGCATTCTCAACAAGTTTTATTTGAGTCACTAACAGGACTCCAACAGTCCCAAACCAGTGAGATACTGGCATTTGTAACCATCTGGAAAACCTGCAGACCCAAAAACCAAAGGTTTTGGACCACCTGTCCAAAGGTTTCCTTATTTAAATAAGTTAAGTAAATGTTAATATATCTTGAAAGAATTTTCTGCACCTTCATTTTGTGTCTAGTACTTTTCAGAAGATTCACTCCTAAATCAGGGGTCTGAAACCAGTGGCTGTGGTCCCACATGAGGCTCTTTGGTCCCTCTGGAGCAGCTCTTTTGACGGCTTTGAACAAAACTAACATGAAGCTTTATTTTTTATTTTTTATACCCACAACAGAAATGGCTAGTTTTAGCAGTTTTTCTGTAAATTTGTGGGCAAATGTGTGATCAATAATACTAAGAAGTAAAACATGTTGATTAGATCATGCTAGTAGCACGTTAGCCACTTCAGTAATCCAACTTCCAGCCTAAAAGTAAGATTTTTCTCCCAAATCCACCAGGTTAACCCTTTGATACTAGACTACATAAGAATTAAAAATAAAAAAATATGCCTGCATAGCTCAGTTTTAGTTTGTATTAAAAGGAACCCCAACTAATTGTGACATCATTATCTGATGAAACATTTACTGATAAACTGTAAAACAAAGACTAAAAATACTGATTAGTTTTTATAAATGTAAACAAATACAAGTAAATGTTGATCAAATAATGTCTAATGTTACAACAAGCCGGGGTTCCCTTTAAATTTGTTATGAGCTGTATACAATATTTTTCTTGTTTACATGAATATGATCTTTTATTCTAAAGTGTAATAATAATAATAAATGTTAATATTCACTATATATTTGTAGTTTTAAAATTTTGCCTCCACAGGCTGAAAAGGCCCCCCATTYAACAAACTCTAAATGGCCCACRGACCAGCAGYTGATTACAGTTGTAGCACATTTTGTGGCTCGGGACACATTTTATTAGTGTCTAAACTCTTTAGGTTGTTAAGAAGAGAAAAGTGAGTACCGTATCTGGCCTCCTGACGTTTTCTGTTCTGGTTTAGTTTGAGGACGTTGAGGAAGACCTCGCTGCTCAGGCTGCCCTCTCTACCCTGGCCGTTCGGAGGATAAACGGGCGACGGCGGTTCCAGCGGGGACAGACTTCCGCTGGAGGCCCCCACTGAGTCTAAAGACGCCCCAGTGTCCCGCCGGCCCCCCGCCTCACTGCTGGTTTCCACGGTCAGGTGACTCCCACTGAGGAGGAGCAGAAACAGAAGATCAGGGCTTTGGTGACACGGATCAGCAGATCTGACGGCGCCTGCTTTACCTGAGTTTCCTCCGCAGCAGGTAGTCGATGACGTCTGGATCCGTCTGGATCAGACTCATCAGGACTTCCTGCTGAAGCTCAGCAGAAACCTTCGGGAACACGAGGAACTCGTAAACCAGCTGAATTAATTAGAATATCTTRAAATTGTAAACTTTCAGAATAAAAGCCTGACTGGTGTGAGAGAAATGACAAGTGTTTTTTTTCCTGGTACCGTGAAGAGCCTCCTGTAGTTCTGGATGAGCACCAGCGTGACGCTGATGATGGCCGTGCTATCCTCGATGCCCATTGCGTGAGGACTCACGTCGCCACCTCGTTCCCTCTGGAGCAGGTTCGGGCCGAAGATCACGGCCAGGTTGGCGGCTGTCATCTTGTTACCAGGAATCTGATGATGAAGATGAGATGATGAGGTAAAATTCAGTTCAGGAAGCTAAACGCCTTCATCAAAATCTACCTTTAACGTCTCTGTAAACAAAAGGTTGGATTTCAGACTAAATCAAAAACGACATACTGTAATACTGTGATACACTGCCATTTTATATACGATATTCAGTGTACAAAAGCACAATTTTTCCAAAAAACATCTTTGTGTTTCTTGTTTCTGATAGGATCCTACACCCTGCCCACTTTCTAGCAGAGGTTTAAAGTAACTAAGTACATTTATTTTATTACAGTACTTCAGTACGTTTTTTTTTGAGGATTTGTAATTTTACCAAATTTTTAATATCTACTTTTACTTTTATTTCTTTATATTTTAAAGCTAAAAATACTAATTTTACTTCTTTACTTTAAAATGTAACTTGTTACAAAATTAAATATGTTCAAACTCATCATTAAAGTAGATGTTTATGTACCGTAAAACAAATGAAGTGTTGAATTTACTGAACAAAGTCAATTTCTGTTCATGTAATTTTACTTTTAGTTAGTTGTTTTTTTCAAGTACTTTTTACTTTTACTTAGTTGTGTTTTTTCAAGTACTTTAAAGACCTCTGGTTTCTAGATTTGTTTTCATTTACACGGAAATACAGAAAAGAACCAGAAAACACTGTAGTAAATATGCCAGGCCTGTGTGTGGCGCTGTAACACAAAAATACATCAGAAACAGCAAACATGTGGAGCGCACACAGAAAGCTCACAAGTTGGGAGCGAAAAATAAACACGGTAAGAATAAGGGAATGCATTTGGGGTTGTAAATTAGATTATAGGTGGGGATTTAGCATCATAATTTTCAAATGGTTATGTTTTAGCTGTAAACGCCAAAATGTTTCAAGATTTATTTAAATTCTGGAACAAGCAGAGCTGTAGAGAAGCGTGGAGGCCCACCTCCTCATCGTTGGTCCCTATGCTGTCCTGGGCGAAGCTCTGCACGGTTTGCAGCATGGAGAGGAGGCGCAGCAGGGTGTCGCAGTTGCAGGGCGGGAGCAGGTAGAGGAGGTGCTGCAGGTACTGCAGCTGCTCGGCTCCTCTCAGCACTGCRGGGAACGAAGAGGAGCGTTAGAACCTGACGGGGGGCCACCACGTGAACCTTAAATCCTTCAGCAGGCGCAGATCAGTTTGGACGCGTACAGTTGGCGTGCAGGAAGGCAGGGTACAGCTCCCGGGGCAGCAGGGGGTCCGGCATGTCCCTCAGGAACTCTTTAAGCAGCGCCGCCACGTCATGAACGCTGTGCTCCTCGTCCAGCTGCACGTCCACCCCCATGTCGAAGTCCTCTCGCAGCTACGACGCCAACACACAACCAAGACGACAAACAAAACCCAAACGTCAGAAAGAAAGAATCAGTTTCACAAAAACAAAAGTTCCGGTGAGGGGGGTCACAGAAGGGCCACGTTCCCCACAAAGGGCTTGATTTTTAAATAACAGGATGTCACACTTCATCAGCTGAAGATTATTTTTATTTTCCAGCATGGAGGGATGGGAAAGGCTGGAGAGTGAATCAGAGGACAGATGTCATTGATGACCACAGCACACTGGTGTTTTAGGTAAACAAATTTCCAAAATAAAAACCTAAAATAAAAAAGTAATGACAATAATTTATCAAATTCCTGTTTCTCTGAAAGAAACAAACATGATCAGGATGAAGTCCCTATTCCCTATTTTTTTAAAAATACACTAAACTGGGGGAATATATATAAATACATATTTACTTTCATTAACATAAATACAAATTAAAAATGTCACAAAGACATTTTCATTTAGCTCACATTCCGAGTGTAAAATCTTAGTTATTGCACAAAATGCACAACTCTAAGGGACTGATTTATCAAGAATTAGTAAGTGTAAAACTATGCACAAATTTTTGGACTTTTTGAAGTGCTCGTATATTGGAAGTATATTAAGCCAAAGATGGATGCCTGGAGTTTCTTGTGTTTGGGGAGGTTTTCAGTATCACTCCAGTTGTTCTTTAGAGAGGTCTTTTAATGGGAGACATCTTTTCCTCTATGAATCTTCCTTCAAATGCAGCCTGTTTTACAACATTTGCACGCTGGCAATATTAGCAGTTTATGTGATTGTGTTTTTCTTTGAACTCTTTAAAGGGCCAATATTATGTGTTTCTCAGGCATATATTTCAATACTATACCATAATAAAGTATCTGTGTCACCT